ATCCACATGCCACTGACGATGTTCGCCCCAGGAGGGGGAACCTCATCGATGTAAGTGCCTGTGGACTTCCAGGATGCCATTTCTGCGTCCATGGCTGATTGCCACTTAGAGGAGTAGGGACCCTCTATCGCCTCTGCGTAACAGCACGGGGTCCGGATGTCTTGTGCTACCGGGTCTCCCTCAGGTGCAATCAGCATGGACACAAGATGAGGTACAGCAGCTGCAAAGCACTCAAAGTCCTCCTGCCTGTCCTCAAGGACGTCCGTGCCAAGAGCACACTCACCTGCAACGGGTGGAGGACAAACAGACTCGGATTCAGCAACAAGACTAGCGGCGTAGTCTAGACGATAGCGAGCAGCAAATTCGACAAGCTCAGTAACTAAGGCAGACGCAGCAGTGGACTCAAACGAAGGGTCAGTGACAACAATGGCCAGGTGACGCATGACAGTAGGACTAGCAGCACGAAGGGAGTCAGACTCCGGGTCCGGACCGTTAGCAAGGGAGGACGCAGGAGGAGATGGCAGAGGGATACGCAGTGGAACAGAGAAAGGACGAAGTGCCATATGGTGCGTGCCGGGGACAGGAGGAGGACGCGGACGCGGAACACGACTACCAGTACGAGCAGCGCGAACAGATGACGAAGGATGAGACTTAGGCTCACGATGCTCTGTAAGACCTCCGGTTGGTCTAGTGTAAGGAGAAGGACCAGGCAGTGGGGAGGCTGGCTGTAACTGCGACTGCGACTGGACAGGCGGTGGACACTCTAAGGGACGAGTAGGACCAGTAGATGGCGGGAGACCAAGAACGTGCTGAAGGAGTGGAACGAAGAACGGCCGCGGCCGTGCATCACCACCAGAGCCAGTAGAGACAGCTCTAGTACCCCCAGCGCCAGGGTCTCCAGCTCCAACTCCTGCAGCACCACTAGCTCCACCACCACCAGCACCACCAGCACGAACAGCTCTAGCGCCTCCAGCTCCAACTCTTGCAGCACCACTAGCTCCAGCACCAGCAGCACCACTAGCAGGAACAGCTCCAGCGCCTCCAGCACCAACTCCTGCAGCACCACTAGCTCCAGCACCAGCAGCACCTTGAGCAGGAACATCTCCAGCGCCTCCAGCTCCAACTCTTGCAGCACCACTAGCTCCAGCACCTCCAGCAGCAGCAGGACCTCCAGCTCGAGTAGCACGGCTTCAGCGCCGAGCAAACCACTCGCGCTGCTGCGGTGGAGAGAGTGGCTCCCGTCGGGACAAGACACCTGTAGGACCTCCAGAAGACAAAGTACCTCCAGGCTCAGCACGCTCAGGCTCAGCACCCCCAAGCTCCACACTTTCAGGCTCAGCACCCCCAGGCTCCGCACCCCCAGGCTTCGCACGCTCAGGCTCAGCACCCCCAGGCCCCGCACGCGCAGGCTCAACACCCCTAGGCCCCGCACCTGCAGACTCAGCACCCCTAGCAGTACCAGAGTCAACAGCTACTTCGACAAGCTCGACACGGTCTACCTGGGACACACCTGATGGGGCAAGACCCTGAGGGGGAAGGGGGTCTAACAAAGGAGGACCTGGTGCTAGGAAGTGCGGCGGGGGGGGGAGAGGGGCAGTGCGGTAGGGGAAGAGACGGTAGGGGAAGAACCGACTCGTCGAACGTGACGTCTTGAGAGGACAGAACACGGCGCAAGGTGGGGTGGTAAAACTGCCAGCCAGGCGCGTCAAGGGGGAAGCCAAGGAAGACGCAGGGAACGGCACGGGAGGACAGCTTGTCCACGGAAGAATCGCGGACAAAAGCTCGAGATCCCCAGACACGGAATACAGACGCATCGCCAACTTTCCCCGTCTACCGCAGAGCAGGTGTGGTCTCCGTAACGGAGACACGGAGCGGGAGGTTGAGCTGATGCGCAGCGTACTGAGCCGCGAACGGCCACAGAAAATGGGGAGCAGCCGCATGGATCATGGACGTACGAGCGACGTCCATGACCATGCCAATGCGGCGCTCAGCAATCCCATTTTGCTGCAGGGAGGCCAGAAGCTGAACGTCTGGCGGATGCCCTCCGCACGACAGAAGGCCTGCAGAAGGTCGGAGGAGAACTCTCCACCTCTGTCAGAGTGCAGGCGCAGAACAAGAAGGTCCGAGCCAAAACTCTCGCTGAGCTCGCAACGGGCAGCGCGGATCCAGTCGATCAGCACCTCAGTAACCTCACCCATGCGGCACAAGGTGAAGACTGTGGTGTAACGCGAGTAGTCGTCAACGACCAGCAGAAAGCAACGCTCGTGACCCTGTCCACGGACGCAGGCTGGGCCCCACATGTCCATGTGGAGAGTCTGCAGGGGAGCCTCGGTCGGAGGGAACTCGAAGGAGTGAGGAGCGGCGCGCTGCCGTCCCTCGACGCAAGGAACACAGGTAGGGGCAGGCCCCGGTGGGAGGGGAGGGAGAGATCGGGGGAGACCGGTGACAAGGACACGGGAGGCCATACCTCGAAGATGAGGCAGGGAGGGGTGACCAAGGCGGTGGTACCAGAGGAGAGTCTGGTGTGACAGGAGACGACACGAGTAGGGGGCAGACTCCGGACTAGACCTGGACGCAGCAGTAAAGACCTGACCAGATGCAGTAACTGGAGGGGACGCAGTAGTCAATGTGTACAAGCTTGACCCAGGTTGACTGGTGAACGTGGCCAGGTGGCGTCCTGTCCGAGTACACGTACAGTGGATCACCCGCTGACCTCCATGAGTGAACTGGTCAACCCACACGTCCTGGAGGTCAGCTCCACTCACCAAGTTTGTAGAGAACGAGGGGAGGTGAAGACCCGACAGTGAGTCAGACGGGACCTCCGGACACGGCAGAACCGTAGAGGAGTGCACAAGGACTCGGCCCCCAGAGGGGTCCGCCAGGGAGACAGCAACCGGCCGACTGAGCGGCGTGAGTGTGGTGCAGTCGCGAAAGAAAGAGCGGGAAGCACCAGAGTCAAGAGTGAAAGTGTGCAAGGCCTCAGCAGGCGCAGTACCAGAGAGAGCAGACTCACAAGTACCTTAAAGAGCAGACTCACTAGCACCTAGTGCAGCAGCCTCTATACCTGGGTCGGGCGGCCCACACAGGTAACAGTCACCCTCGGCACGTCTCTGAGACGCCCAACGCTGAGCAAACCACTCACGAAGCTGCTGGGGCGGAAGTGTCTCACGTGGACGCTGCTGCAGCTGCACCGGGCCACCTCCAGAAACTCCCAAGTGTAGCGAGGAGGCACTAGGGTAGGTCGGGGCGGTGCATGGTCAAGGAAGGGCGGCGCGCGGCCAGAGCAGGGCGGCGTACAACCAGAGCAGGGCGGCGCGGCCAGTAGCAGGCAGTAGCTCCTAGGGCAGAAGCACCAAGAGGTTTTATTTTATTTAATTTAATTTATTGATTATAGGGTTTAGCAGGGCGCTGCAGAGGCGGCTCGGGCAGGGCAGGGCACGGCGCCAGTGCGCACAGGGCAGGGCGTTGGCGCGTTGGCAGGGCAGGGCACTGGCGCGAGTGTAGGCCCGCGGTGGGCGCAAAACGCAGGCACGACGGGCGCAAGGGGCGGGCCCGCGGCGGGCGTAGCGGACAGGCGCGTGACGGGCCAAACGGGTAGGCGCGGCGGCGCGAAGGCAGGGCCCGCGGCAGGCCTAACGAGCGGGCGCGGTAGCGGGCGTAACAAGCAGGCCGCGATGGGCGGCTAGGTCAGGGCCACGACGGGCAGCGAAAGGGCAGGGCTACTACGGGCGGCAGTAGGGCAGGTCGCGCGATGGCGCTGGTGAGGCACGAGGCGCGCTTCGGGCAGAATATTTTATCGTGGTGGGGCCTGAAAAAAAAAAGGCGTTCCCACTGGGGAACCTGCTCTGAAACCATGTCAAAATTAGGAGTATAGAATGACTAGAAACACAGCAGTACAAGGTTTGTATAGGCAAAATCTAATTGGGCTGTACCCCTTAAGGAGTGCCCCACTACAGCCTAGAGCATAGTTATGACAAAAATGCTACGAGTGTTCGGCTGCATGGTACAGTACCGACCCCCAACTGCACGAGCAGGTCGCTTCTCCCAACGCGCAAAGTGAGGGCTACATCTGGGCATCGAGAAACATTACAACGCATGGAAGATTTTCGACATCAACACAAAGGAAACAGTGGCAGCACGTGATGTCATCTTCTACGAGTGGCTCACGCTTCCAACATACCTTGCCACCCTAGAAGAAGATCGAGACCCCACAGGTGGCTTTCACAGTGACCGAGCCTTCGCTTCGGCATCAGATGAAGCTAACTGGGACGAGCAGAATGTGGATGGAGCCTCCGAAGACGCCGGACCTCTTCCCTACTGTTGGGTCGACGTTTCGATGGACGACGAAAACCCTCGCGACAGCATCAACACCAAACCTACTATCACTTCGCCGACAACGGTTACGTTACGCCCGCGCAAGTCAACACCGATGAAGCATATGAGCTTGTGGGAGGGCCAGTGCGCCTCTTGGCACTCTCTGCTGCAATACGCCACCTTGCCACACCCATCGCAGCTCCTCAGCTTCACACAACCACCCTCCACCCTCCCACATCCCACAGCACCGCACACATGGACTTCCATGTCTGGAGGATCAGCAGCAGCACCAGCAGCATGGATGCTCACAGCAGCAACAGGGGCAGAAGAAGCAGAAGGGACGGAAGGGGAAGCATCTCTCGCAGACATGCCACCATATTGACTCCCCCTGGCCATGCCTTCAGGTAAGCTGGCTCTCCCCCCTGCCTGCTGAAGCTGCTGCTGCTGCTGGCAGTGCTGCTGCTCCCCTCCCCAGACCCACGCTGCCTCTTTAACCCCTCACAGTACCTTGGTGTGATTGCTGCCTCTAGAGCCCACGTAATGTCACTCTTCTCTGCCGTTCTCTCCCTCTTCCTGCCGCCTCTACACTCCTCACTCTCTCCCTCTCTCCCCACATTGAACCTCCATGCTGCCATGGCCGAGGAATACCATATTCGCACCTCCTCCCACACCTCTCCACCGTTCTCCTAATCCGCCTCTCTATCCCAGAGGCCTTGCACCTTGGAATTCTCCTCCTTCCACCTCCCACTGTATCCCTTCTTGAACTCGTCAGTCACCAAAAGAGGATGCGCGTACAACACTGCCATGCGAATCAGAAAGTACAGTGGTACCTGCTCGGCGCGCCTGAGCAGCATGTGCAGGTTCAAGGGCAGGCGCGCTGGGAAGTCGAAGCACTCAACAAGCTCGCCAAAGCCAGGGGAGGAGGGCGGGAAGACCGAGAGCACGCGGGAAAACAGGTGCCTGACAGGGCGATAGGCGAAGTTGGCGATGAGAGCAGCGATGCACACAGATTGAATGTACTCTCTGGAGCAGGTGCTGCACTGGGTGCATGCAGGAGGGTCCATAATATACCCGGCAAACCCCACCAGGAAGTCCACATCTGCCTCGCAGCGAACGATGGGGAGCTTCCGGCCTGGGGGGGGAAGTGTTACTCTCCGCTTGCTGTTCTGCTCTGCTCTGTATGGATTTCTCCCAAGCTCCTTGCTCTATTGCCTTGGAGACTCTCCTCCTTGCACTCCTGCTGCCCACTCCTGCTTCAGCTATCCCACGCCTTGTGCTCCATTGAGCTTCCTGGCTACCTCCTTGGCCTTCTGGATTAGATCCTTTTTCCTTTGCATGCCTCCCGCCCCTTCCTGCTTCAGATGTGTGCTGAGGTGGGATTTGGGTCAGCTTCTCAGCTGGTTCACCACGCTCCTCCACAATCCCAAGCCCAAAACACCTCTCCTTTCGGTTGACAAGAAACTTCACAGCAGCTTCCTCGCCCCCAGGCCACTCCTCCCACTCCAAAGGAATGCCGCTACCCTCCAGGGGCCTGGGGATGGCGTCGAACCTGACCAGCAGGCTCAGGCTCAGGCTCAGGAGGCTCAGATGTGTGCTGCTGCTGCTGCTGCTGCTGCTGTCGTCCCCACTGCAATGGCTGCACCGGAACTCCCTCCCTTCCCCCCCTCCATGCTCCAGAATCCAAGCCATCCCATCCACATAGTTCTCCCACACAGGTCCCTTCAAAGTATCCCTCCACTTCACCTCCTTCCTCCCCCTCCCGCACTTGCCAGCAACCCTTTCAATCTCTACCTTGCTCCCCGCATCTTCCTCTCCATGTCGGCCATCGTCCTTCCCATCGCATCCGCCCTTCCCCTCCCCATGCGTCTTCCCACCAACCTTCTCCTCAGCACCCCCCATCCCCTTCCCCTCCCCATGTACCTTCTCTGCAGCCTCACCCCCAGCTCCCCCCCTCCCCTCTGCATGCGCTTTCTCCATCCCGCCTGACAGCAGATGCTGCACAAAGAACCCAAACCCTTCCTTCAGCTCAGCACTCTCTTTCACTTCACCCCCAGCACCTGCACCAGCATGGATGAAAAATTGTCAAACTCCTTGTTCCTGCTCGCCCCCAGCTCAGCGACAATTGCTGGCCAGGCAAACGAGTAGGAAACTAAGTGTGCTTTCCATACAGTCACAAGGCGGGGGGGTCTTGCTACAAGCACAAGGAATGTCGAAAAGCTGATAGCACGATGATAGGCATCCCAGCAGGTGCTGCAGCGCCAGCAGCAGGACCACGCTGCAGCAGCAGAACGGGCAGGAAGAGGAGTAGGAACAACAGGAAAAGGAGCAGGGGCAGCAGCAGGGGCAGCACGAGCAGGAAACGAGATATCAACAGCTGGAGCAGCTGTTGTAGTATGCAAAACGGCAGGCAGGCGGGATCGGATCCTCCCCATGGACCATGCCCACACGAGGCTCAGCCATCCACTCAAGAAGCATGGCTTCCGCACAAAGGCGAGATGCCCTCTCTTTCTTCCATGAGAACTGTTCCTGAGGTGAGATTCTACGCCCATCTTGTTGCGCCTGCACCAGTGCCCCTTTAGAATACTCGAAAATTGCCTGGTGATGCTGCTGCTGCTGCTCTGGCGCAGCTGCAGGGATGGAACGAGGCCGCTGGGTACACAGGTGGCGACGCATGTCTTCCAGGTTCTTAATGGCAAGTGCTCGCTGTGCGCGCTGGCTCACTGCACGGTCAAAGCAGCATCCGCACAGATCCTCAACCCAACCGCTCATCACGTCCAAATAGTGAACCATATCCGCCTGAAAAGGCATCTGAAGCAGCTCTGGATTGCCCTCGGCTCCCCTTTTCTCCGCTGCCCCTCTGTTTGCCTCATCAAGCTGTCCCAGTCCTCCCCTGTCGATCTGAACTCCAGCGCGAGCTGCCCTCTGCTGCATCGCAAAGGCCGTCGCCCGCTCTCCCAACTTCTGAAAGGACAGCAACAAGTTTGCACAACTCATGGCATAGTCCTCTTCCTCTTGCCCTTGTTCTTCCAATTGGCCTGCTGCCCCTCCGTTTTCCCGAGTGGATTGCCCTAGTCCACCTCGCTGAAATGTCCCCCCCACGCATTCTTAGCCTTCAGCTGCTCTTCCAACTTCAGAAGCTCTAACACGCGTGCATCTTTCGCAGCACCTTCCTCTCCCTCTTCCTTGTCATTGCTACTGCCAGCATCAGAATTACCGGACTTCAACTCTGCTCCGCCAGATCCAGTCAGGGTTCCTCTCTTCGGCTTGTGCCTCTCATCTTCCTTGGTACTTGGCTTGATAGGGTCCAATCGGGTGGTAAAAGCAGTAGGCGTAGCAGCGGGAATCGATGGAGAAAGAGAGAACGAAGGACGTGGCACATCAGTAGCAGACTCAACACCAGGAGCTTCCCCAAACTGCTCAGCTTTTGAGGACGCCACGTTGATGATTGTACTCTCTCTAAGCTTGGCTTGCTCAACGGTCAAGTCAGGAGAAAGGCACACTTGCTGCCCAACAGCCATAAGTCGAACCTGCTGCTTTCGGATTGCCAATTCTTGCTCCACCGCTTTCATCCCATCTTGACATTCCTGCTGCTGACGTGTATCGCATGGCAGGCAGCAGTTGGGGCAGGTGGGATTGGAACAACCGGTTAAAAACTGGCGATAGAAGTTCGTCAGGAGCTACAGTAAGAGAAACATTAACGTCTGATGCGATTCCGAAGCGGTTGTTACTCAAGCGATCGTCTTCAACAGTGAGGCATCCTGTGGACTCACCACTGCCATTCGTACCGTAAGATCCACAGTTCGTAAGACTAGCTGGGATTTTAAAACTGACCTTGAACGCCATGTCGGATGCTGCAAGGTTCTTATCAAACTTGCTAGTTATCAGTCGAAGCCAGTTAAAGATCCGTCGGTTTCACTGGATCTGAAAGGCCGGTAACAGTGCTATCTCGCTCAATGACTGAACACTGACGAGACTACGTGATCGCCAAGTAAGCTGAGGTTATCAGCTAACCCCTTCCCATCCATTAACGCTATGCGACGCTACGCGACGCGTTCCCATTGCCGAGCCATGCGAGGCTTCTTCATTCATCGATTTGGAAAGCATCAAACCATCCAATTATGTTGAGCCTCAAGGAGTACATGAGTGCTTGACGATTCATTCTTATCGCATAACCTGCTGCCATTCAAGGACCGTCGATGCGTCGACTGAACACCGTGAAGTTGGATGTTGTCATGAGGAGAGAGACCAAGTCCAATCTCACATGTGAGTGGAAAGCGCGATCGGACCGTCCGTTTCCGCACAAGTCTAAGATCGCCTTCCTGGGGTGTCCGGACATTGAAGTGGGGACAGCGAAAAGTGCATTCCTAATCGGGTGTAGAATAGTACTCGACATGGTGTCAGCTGATGTAAGCTGTCGTCTCGAGACGACCTAGATTGTTGTGGTGGGACAAGCTTCGATGTTGCCATGGCTGAAACACGAATACCTGACGAGTCAGACAAGGTGTGCTGATGTGAGACACTTGTGCGATTGTCAGATCGCAGGCAAGGTAAATCTGGAATTGTCAATTTCCGTGTGCTTGTCCCAAGTTCCAATCCCAACCATGGGCGCTGTTCTGTAGGCGTTAATTTCAGGGTTTTGAGTTGATCACGCACCCTTACTGAAAATATTCGCCAGAAGCGCAGCACTGTAGCTTCTGGCGCAGGGTTTCTGCCAGTTCTTTGCTCAGGACGCAGAGTTAGCTCCTTTCAACGCAGCTCGGCTCTCATTGGCCCAAACATTCGCACTTGGCAGACAACCATTCGCTCGACCCTGCACAGATTCTCGAAGTAAACAGTCACCTCCCAAGCTTGTCTTTCACGCCAACTAGCAGCTCGTTCTGGGTGGCTCGGCATGCCGCTGTTACAAAATCAGGCTTTCCAGATTCTCGCGCCCAAAACTAGGTACACCTAATGCACGTTATAGTCCCCCAACCTTGCCTTGTCCTCTGGGACTGTAAGCGCACCGGTCATTTTGGGCACTTCGTGGCTTTCGCCACGGCCATAGGGGGCGTTTTAAAGGCAGGTGTGGTTACACGCTTGTCCTTTCCCTAAACAGTGTAGGGTGGCTTTGTTTGTTGTACATTCGAAGGAAGTGTTACCACGTTTTTCGCCCATTTCATTAACAACCCATTACAATTCAAAACCTGCACTGTCACAAACACCACATTTCCCCTTCGACCCAATGAAGCTCCTCCACCTGTACTCAACATACACACCCGACATCCATCCCAAATCTTGCAATTGTGTACAAGGCGTACACCTCATGCACTAGAGGAGGAGTGAAACTCAACCTCTAAGGGGTCGAAATCCCCTCTCACAGCCGCATCCACTCTGCAGCGGCCAGGTACTCGCTCATCACGGCGGGTGCACCGGCGTCAATGAGCTCCTGGCGGCGGGCCGACTGCGCCACCCAGTCTGGGGTGGGCACATGCGCCCACGCAGGAAGCACCCGACCGCGGCGACGAGGGGTCTCAGGCGGCGAGGTGTCGGCGTGAGTCACAGCCGGGGGTGGGGCGTGGTTGAGATCGAGAGGCGGGCTCGCGCGTTCCATCCGCGCCACGATGATGGGGTTGCGGATGTCGAACAAGGCGCAGAGGTCCCGTGGGGAAATGCACGTCGCCCGCGCGTAACCAATCAGCATCTCGCACGCAGCGCGAGCGGTGCGGCGCGCTTCGCGCGACGCAGGGTTGCTGTCGTCGTAGACAGCCTGCATGTTCGCAGGCGCCTCCCACATTGCGGGCGTCGCCACGGACGCGGGCTCCCTTGCAAGCGGGTCCTCCCCCGGTTCGGCGCAGGTGGGCTGGTTGGCGTCGACGTTCACGAAATCGGCGGCGGCCATCGCGCTCGGCCCGAGGCGCAGCTGGCCAATGAGGAGGCCGACACCGTCAACCTCTGCATCGAGGCCGATGTCGGCCACATTCGCACCGCCGCCGCCTGCGCCGCCGTTGGTTCCTTTGCTGCCGTTCCCGACCCCCACGTGTGGGAGAGACATGGCCCACACGTGGGGAAGACATCCGATGCGCCACCAGCAGCGCTGGATGGCGCGCGGGCCCACGTTCATCCAAGCGTCGTGGAGCCAGTCCAGCACAAGGCGCAGATTCGGCCTGAAATGCGCAGCCGCGGTAGTTGCGCCGTCGGTGCACCATATGCCGGTAAAGGCGCGGAGCCAGTGCGCACGGTACCGAGCTTTCGCCATTGAGATGAGCCCCTGGTCAAGAGGCTGAGTGAAGCAAGTCGTGTTTGGGGGTAGATACACGAGGCGTACGTTCCCGAGCGCGCACGTGCGGAAGCCAAACATGTCTTCAATGGTGACACCTTCCGTCGTGAGCGTGTGGCTGCTGGCGTTGTCGAGCAGCACCACGATCTTCCTTCCCTCGGCGTACATGGTGGCGTCAAGTTGCTCGATGTAGTGCGTGAACAACTGCGCATGGCGAGAGCGGGCGGAAGGGATACAAAACATAGTCGTTAACCGTGTAACTTCTCGGTAACTTGACTTTTACGAGGCCGGCACACGATACACACAAGCACCATCATGCTCACCGCCTTTGTCATCCAGCCTTTGGCGTTATTGCGCCAGAAACACTTCTCCTCGGGATTGTAGTCGGGCCGAAAGTCGTGGGGCCTCCTCGCCTTCGAAATCACCAACGGCTTGAAGACACGGGATCCGTCGGCGTTGACGAGGAAGCCCACCGTCAACCGCTCCTTGGCAATCTTCCGGCCGGCCGTGCGGGTGGTGCCATACGTCTTACGCGGCAGGATCGAGAGGAACAAGGCGGTCTCGTCGAAGTTGAAGGTGTCGCTCGGAGTGACAGAAAGGTGCATCAACAGCTGCGGGAGTTTCTCCTTGGTCGTTCGGACGGCCGTCATGTCCTGGTCGGCCGCCTCGCCAACAGCGCTCATACAACGGACTCCCTGGGCAACACAGTCTGTTTTGTGCATCCCATTCATTTGTGGTTGTATTCAAACCACTTGGGTAAGTAGTCCAAGGCGCTCTAAACGTGGGTGCAAGCTCACGGCAAAAAACCCACGGGTGCAAAGTTTCCACCAGGTGCGAGTCAATTTCGCGGTGCATTGGGTGAGCATCATGTGTATCGCGTTCGTTACGAGCCTGGAAACAGAAACGACTTCCGTCAGGACGCTACTTGGTTTTGCATCACCATGTGAGCAACCTGCTGCAGACTACGAGCATGAACACCAAGTACTTCACGCAAATCAAAGTCACACGCACAGATTAGGGTTTGCAAACACCAAGTCCCGATCAGTTGTAATAGCTTCTATGCGTGTTTTTTCTTCTTAGTCTGCATTGCATCCCTGGCTACGGCTTAATGGAACCCGTGGATTTCGGCCTTTATGAGGATCGCCATCTCCAGATCCTAGGTGATACTAGGTTGTACCATCAGCTTTGTAACGCATTCTGCACAAATGCCACTTTCAAAGTACTATGCAAGCTTTACTTCTACTAATCGCTCCCCTCTGCATTTCACAGGCGTGTCCCTCATTGTCCACCCTTGTTTCTTATCGTTTTTTCCTACTCATCAATCTCCACCTACGTTTGATTCTCCGTTCATACTTAACTACCGTCTATTCTCATTTGCTCAATCTCCAGTTCCACGTTTTCGTTCACTATTATTAGGTAGCGCACGTGTAAATACTGATTTACTTCCGTCTACACTGTTTAGACACCCTCCTTACCAATTCCCATCTTGTCCATCCGCCCTACCTTTATACTCTTTCGTTTTCCACATTCAGTATCATAAGCATCATACAGTTTCAAAATGTTCAGAAGTTCATTGTCAAGGTAATACTCTCGTTTTAGGCACCTCTATTATTCATGTTACGATTGACCTTCCACTCGCACACATTAGTTTACGTGCTTCAGTTTAGGTCTGGTGTTTATTGCTAATTTTGTATGCAATTACAATGCCAATTGCCATATCGTTGCATGGTTCCTAACAGTGCTTTCTTGGGCCAACGTAATGAGGAGGCCGCCATACAAGAGGGGACAGTCTTCTCATCTGTGAGCGTTGCCCGAGCGGAGATCTTAAAGCATGTCGACAAAGAGAAATTTGGAACATACTGGTTCCGAAACAGGGCAGATCGTTTGGAAATGCGTTGTCATTCCATGTAAGACAAAGAGTGGCCCCTAGATGAGGCTAAGGCGTTCGACGGTTTTTGCCCGTTTAGGATCAAAGCTACGGGTCCCCGAGGTGGCTGTTTTATTGTGAAAAATGCAAGTCTTCAACATGCAAGCATGTGTGTGCCTCGTCCAAACCCGGTTAGGAGAGGGGAGGTTAAGGAAGTTGTGCGTGAGTTGCTTCCTCTTAGTGACATTAAGCCTCACGGCCTCAGGGTTATTGTGCAGGAGCGTTTGGGAAAAAAATGCTGCTATTCGACATGTGATAGGTCAATTGACGCTATTGTGTCTGAGGACCAGCTTGCTGGAGATGTTGGTTTCCAGTACATAGGTAGTATCCTGAGTGAATTCAAGGTGAAAAACCCAACCAGTGTCATTTCATGGAAGCTACAGGATAGCATGTTCTTTTGGGCGGGATTGGTGTATCCGGGTGTTTTGGACTGTGTCAGAAATTGTCTCCCCATTATTTTTGTTGACGGTTGTCACAACAAGGGGACGTGGCGTGGTCATACCCTTAACGCATGTATGGTGGATTGTGAGCACAAGTTGGTGAGGCTGGGAAGTGCATGGGTTGAAGGAGAGAATGCTGAGTCATGCGAATATTTTTTGGAGCTCTTGAGGCAAGCGGCGCCAGAGATCGACAACCCGAAATTCACATTAATGCACGACCGCGGCAAGGCATGGACGGCTGCAGCCTCCAGGGTATTGCCGGGGATGCGTGAGGCGTTTTGCGTAACGCATTTGGTGCGAAACTTCAACTCCAAATTTGGTTCTGACTTGGATGGGAAGATTGAGCTTGCTGCTGCAGCATTGACACGTGATGTGCATCGAGGGATGATGGAGAAGATAGAGGAGGAGTGTACTTGGAGAAAGATGGTTTGGCATCAAAGTGGGCCGTGTTTAAGTTTTGCGGGGCACGATTTGGGTGTTACACATCAAATCCTGTGGAGTCACACCATGCATCGATGCGCGGACTAAGGAAAGACAATCCAGCCCAGGTATTGCTTGAATTCATCAACCGTCAAGCCTCCGCGATGCAAGAAGGTCGTGAGCTCTATGGAAGTCTAGGGGCGGGTGACTTTCCGAGAAAAACGGCTGCCATAATTCGGGCGAACTGTCAAACGGGCACGCAGTACACTGTCGAGAAGACTGGACCACACTCCTTCCGTGTGAGCCGCCGAACCGGGGCTAAGGAGGAACGTGTAGTGGAGAAGAATCAAGAGGATCCAAAGAAGACCGTGTGCACGTGCAACTACACCATGTGAGTATGGCATATTCTATTAACATTCTGTGATTCACAATAATGGTGAGGATACGGCAATGGTTGCTACGGACCAGCAATAAAGTTTGTTTTCTCAATTGATTGCACCTTATCATTCCCTGGCTGTTTTTGCAGAGAATACGGCATTCCATGTGTACACATATTTGCCGTGCTCATCCATGAAAGCCGACCAGCACGTGGCAGAGAGTTGGTAGCTGTTCAACAGGAGGTTCGAGCTATGGTGCACCGGTGCTACACTTCTGCTACATTGACTGAACTGTATAGCACCAAAATAAGAACTCTTGATCGCACAGAGGAAACTCCAGACCGCGACGTCAAACCCCCAGTGTATTCGAAAAAGCCAGGGAGGCCACGTGAGGTGAGGCTTCGATCTCACGGTGAGATCGATGGGAGAAAGTTGCGTAAGTATCGCAAGTGTGGCGAAAAGGGCCATAATATCAAGACTTGTGATCTGCGGAAGCAAAGGAGTGCAGCGTGGGAAGCACTTTACACACCAGAAGGCCACATGAGTGTGCAGACAGCCACACAAGCTGAGGCAACGGTTAGCATATCACAGTGTACAGCATGTAACGGCAGGCACAATCGAGCAGTTATTTGTGAGGCCCTAAGGGAGAAACGTGCACGTGAAAGGAGAGAGTCTATTGGGCATACGGATGGTAACACAACAGAAGGGATTGCTGGTGTGGATGAAGAGGCTGTAGTTGGGGAAGAGGAGTTTGATAGTGACACAGATTGTTCTAGTGAGGACTCAGATGATGAAATATTGGATGAAGCTGTTCACAGGGATGAAGCAAAGGTGAGTGCTGCACCACAAGAGGCCACAAGAGGGAGGGGAGGAAGGACAGGGAGGGGAGGAAGGACAGGGAGAGGAGGAAGGACAGGGAGAGGAGGAAGGACAGGGAGAGGAGGAAGGACAGGGAGAGGAGGAAGGACAGGGAGAGGAGGAAGGACAGGGAGAGGTGGAAGGGTTGGACCCGGAGTGGAGGCGAGTAGTGGTGGAGCAGCAGATGGGGGAGTGGAGGCGGGGAGTGGTGGAGCAGCAGATGGGGGAGTGGAGGCGGGGAGTGGTGGAGCAGCAGATGGGGGAGTGGAGGCGGGGAGTGGTGGAGCAGCAGATGGGGGAGTGGAGGCGGGGAGTGGTGGAGCAGCAGATGGGGGAGTGGTGGCGGGGAGTGGTGGAGCAGCAGATGGGGGAGTGGAGGCGGGGAGTGGTGGAGCAGCAGATGGGGGAGTGGTGGCGGGGAGTGGTGGAGCAGCAGATGGGGGAGTGGAGGCGGGGAGTGGTGGAGCAGCAGATATGGGAGTGGAGGCGGGGAGGGGAAGAAATATGGGAAAGGGAAGAGGAGCAGGGAGGAGAGCAGGAGGAGCGGCAAGACTTAAAGGCTGAGAAGGGAGGGTGTTAGGGGGCGGTGAGAGAGACAGTGGCGAGAACAACGCCACGACTGGACAGGCCCCTCAAGACAATGCAGAGAGCATTGTTCGTTCTCGACTGCGACGAATGCAGAACCTTCGACAGCAAAGGCAGGTGGCACCAGAGTCAGGAAACCTTGGTCAGAGTCAGGCAGCATTGGGCGAAGGCCCAATTGGGGAGGGTGCCGAAACTATTGGAGTTCAGTCTGTTAACGGGAGTGTAGTGTTGGCCCCGCCCTCGCTTGGGCAAAGCCGACGACTTGGTCGGATGTACGGGAGTAGCAGCTGACCGTTCACAGTGGGAGAGCTGTTCGACAGGCTTCGTCGAGCTGCAGGGGACCACTGTGGTGTTGCTGTCGACCAGGGAGCTCGATAGCTGCAACTGACTGGTCTGGGCGACGGGTGGGACGTCGACCAGGACCTGCCGTTCGACCGGGAGGTCTCTGGAGCATCCCGTCGACCTGCTGCTCAACCGGGAGGTCTCCGGGGCATCCCGTCGACCTGCTGCTCGACCGGGAGATCTCCGGAGCATCCCGTCGACCTGCAGTTCGACCGGGAGGTGGACGGAGCAGTCAGAAGGGGTCCGTCGACCAGGGGGTAGCTCGACGGGAGTTGTGGTCGACCAGAGGCACTTGGTGGTCGACCAGAGGGACCTGGTGGTCGACCAGAAGCAGTGGTGGTCGACCGGAAGCACGTGGTGGTCGACCGGGTCGACCGGGTAACCTGCTCGACGAGTTCTGCGGAGGCACGCGAACGTCGTCGAGGTTGCGATGGCGCAGGCGACTGTGGGCTGGTATCCCGGAATCGATGTGGCTCGTCAGGCGCAGACAACAGCCGACGGATGCCCAACGAGGCAAGTCGGGCCAATCGTCTGCGCGCACCTGCGAGCGTACACACTACTGTGCTCTACGGGGCAACGCTGGACAGCCGCTCCGCTGCAGCGTTGGCACGCCGTCGACCTGCTCTGTTGGCAGGTCGCCTTTCTGCAGTGCTAGCGCGGCTCCTCTACACAACGCTGGCAGGCGGTCGACCGAGCTGTGCTGGCGGTCGACTAGGCTAGCAGCAGGGTTGCTAGGTGCTTGATGTAGTCATTGTTGTCATTGCTTGTTTAATCATTCTGTAATTCCAACTTTGCTAGTGGAAACTCTTGCCGATTTCTCCCGTGAATGTGCAAGCACTAAGGAACCAAGCAAAGCTACGATCACCTCTAGTAGTTCGTGCCAACCCCCGTAGTCTAGCTCACTACCGTTGTAGAGTGACTCTCCACACAGTCAACATCTCGGACAGGCCGGGAGACCCTGAGAGTGGCGTCACAAGAGGCAACTCACACTCAGCAGTAGCAACAGCAGCAGCAGCAACAGCAGGCAGGGAAGCCGCCATTCCAGCAGCAGCAGCAGCAGATCCCTTGGCTGTTGAGACCGAAGCGACGTCAACATAAACAGCACCCAGAGAGCTAGCGCCAGCATCCTCATCTACGGCAACGGCAGCAGCACCACCGGCAGCAGGACCAGCAGCATCAGGCAGGGCAGCAGCAGCAGCAGCAGCAGCAGCAGCAGGCAGGGCAGCAGCAGCAGCAGGCAGGGCAGCGGCAGCAGCAAGCAGGGCAGCAGCAGCAGCAGCAGCAACAGGCAGGGCAGCAGCAGCAGCAGCAGCAACAGGCAGGGCAGCAGCAGCAGCAGCAACAACAGGCAAGGCAGCAGCCATTCCAGCAGCAGCAGCAGCAGGCAGGGCAGCGGCAGCAGCAGGCAGGGCAGCAGCAGCAGCAGAAGCATCCGCATCAGGAGCAGCAACAGCACCACTAGCAATAGCAGCCCCAGCACCAGCACTCCTGGCAGCAGCAGCAGCAGCAGCAGCAGCAGCAGCAACCCTGGCAACAGCAACAGCAGCGGCACCAACTCTGGCAGCAGCAGCAGCTGCAGCAACCCTGGCACCAGCAACAGCAGCAGCACCAACCCTGGCAGCATCAGCAGCTGCAGCAACCCTGGCACCAGCAACAGCAGCAGCACCAACCCTGGCAGCATCACCAGCAGCAGCAGCAGATGCAGCAGCAGCAATGCCCACAGGTACAGTGGTTGTATCACAAGCACCTATTTAAATTACTCCAACAACAACAGATGCAGCAACCGCACCAACAGTGGCACCCGCAACCGCAGCACCATGAGCAACTAGCAGGGCAGGAGCAGCAGCAGCAGCAGGAGTAGGGCAAGAGGAGCAGCAACAGCATTTTAATGGATAGCCTCTATTTTGTTCCTAGCACAAATCTGGCACATAACTTATTTCTTGCACGCATTGCACTACATCACACTTCATGGACTTGTGCACAGTACAATGGATGTTATGCAGTGCCGACCATAACATCTCTTTTTTCCTTAAGCGCTTCTTGTGCATCTCTTAAACAACCCTCGAACCCCCATGGTCGTTTATATCCTATTGTGCATAGTGTGTTCGGGTAACGAGTGATCGTGAACCGATGTTCGTAGTTTTGGTAGTGATGTTGCTAAATTAATATGAAGTGTGAAATGTGAAGGAGTATGGTCATTTTAATTCAAACCTTTTTCGGTAACGGCTTGTGTATTTATATGGTGCATTTGCTACACAAACACAGAACAATTGGAGTGGATTCTTTGAAACCGTACATTAACGTGTCATTCCACACAAAATTCTGGCAAACTTCTCCGCAAATTCGACATACATGGTGGAACCTTAGGCCCTGAACCGAGCTATTATTGAAGCAACGCACACAATATTACCGTATTAAGGACCTATGGGTGGGTCAACCAACCCACTCTATACTCCCGGCGACCACGAGGAGGAGATTGGCACCATGGTTTCTCATGTCAAAAGTGAGGAGGATGAGGACGAGTGGGCCGTGGTTATGTAGGTGGTAGCGTAGGCATGACTACCATGTAATCTAACGTGTATGTGAGAAGGTTTTAATATTGAGCGTGTAGTTTAATTAATAGTAGACCAGTTTTTGAAATAATTTTAAAATGGTGGCAAAAATGGCGGGTCCTCAAGAACGCTGTCAGATAAAAGATATTTAGTCCAGATTTCTATAAATTAGGTTCACTTCTTAAATGGTCTTTGCTGGTAACAAATATGCATTATAATCCATGAATAGGGCCCGTTTGAATCTATACTCGTGTGTCATACATTATGACCGTAGTCAAGTAGCTATGGAAAATATTGTTATAGCACTTAAGAGAATCAGCTTCTAAAAACTCACACATTATGCTTGAGGAGAGTATATATGTATGCCCCTCATACATGAGCACCAAATTTGGTCAGGGTAGAAACCAAGTAGCGTCCTGACGGAAGTCGTTTCTGTTTCTAGGCTCGTAACGAACGTGATACCTAGTTTTGGGCGCGAGAATCTGGAAAGCCTGATTTTGTAACAGCGGCATGCCGAGCCACCTAGAACGAGCTGCTAGTTGGCGTGAAAGACAAGCTTGGGAGGTGACTGTTTACTTCGAGAATCTATGCAGGGTCGAGCGAATGGTTGTCTGCCAAGTGCGAATGTTTGGGCCAATGAGAGCCGAGCTGCGTTGAAAGGAGCTAACTCTGCATCCTGAGCAAAGAATTGGCAGAAACCCTGCGCCTGAAGCTACAGTGCTGCGCTTCTGGCGAATATTTTCAGTAAGGGTGCGTGATCAACTCAAAACCCTTAATTTTTCCAAAAACCGGGTCCGCAGAATCTTCGTTGATTAGTGGTCTTCTGCCTATCAAGGTTTGGTGATAAGAAAGGTCCTGCCGAACCTATTTGTGCCAAATTTAACGCTTCAGCTTGCAGAACGCCAATTTTGGGGCGCACGAATTTAACCGTCTGCAGGTTCGAAGTTGTTGCTTCGCCAGGCAAATGGTCGCACAACTAGTGCGGTGCTAATTCTACCTTGGGAGCTAGCATCAGCCTCCGCACATGTAGGATGGAGCGGTTCTTGACATCCCAAGACTGAAAGGCTTCCGTGCAAATACTTAAATCAACTGCCGAAGTCCGTCCCCCTAGCAGCAGCAGATAGGCAAGGAGTAGGTATGTCTCTGGGAGGTGGTATAGGAGAACGTAGCAGGAGAGGGAGCAAAACCAGTGTCAGAGAAGGGAAAGGGAGCAGCAGAGTTGCGATAAACGGAGATGGGAGCAACAGGAGGCGGTAGTGAGGACAAGCCTTGTTACGATATGGAATAGTTGAATAAACATTCCTGAGTAACAAATCCTTAACGCGAAGATGACTGCAGCAAGGACGAAAGACCAAGCGACGAGACAGTTATCGAGACAGTTACAAGCAGGAAGAATTTGAAGTGCAAAGCGCGGGAAAAGTTCAAACGGTTATCGGACCGTGTACGGTTACCGAACCGCACGGTTGCGATGCTGCATCTAGATTAGCCCTAAGGGGAATGTACCCCCTCAGAGTACATGGCTAGCTAGGACCTTTCATATTCCACTGTATTCCTATATAAACCCTTGTACCGCATTGTATTAGCCACTTCTGTCGAGATTCATATCTCCTTCTTCTGACAGAGTCCGTGCCCGACATTACCTAGCAGTCTTCCGCTGCTACACTCCGTGCGATCAACCTGAGATGATCCTATAAGACGGTTCAGATTGTATCATTGTATGAGAGCCACTCAGGATTCTTCGCACCACCACCTTTGATCCAAATTCAAATTCAAGGTGGCGTTCGGTACGCGCTCCCGCCGAAACATGGCTGGAGGATCTGGCGGACAAGCGGCCAACACTGCCGAAGCCCCTGCCAACCCTACCGCGAACTCCGCGGAAACTACCACCGTCAGCAATGCGCTACTAGAGCAACTCATCCAGCGGATTTCTACGCTGGAATCAGGAATTCAACAACTGAAGAACGGCAATCCGGAAAGCACTCAACAACCCAACCAACCGACCGCTCAAACCAAGGAACCGAGCCCAACCACTTTTGATCTCGAATCAAACTCTTCTGCTCCAACTGAAGCCGTGCTCGCAGCTCA